CAGGGAGGGAAGGGTAGGAAGTGCCTGGCCCGGAAAGCTCCGGGGGGGCTGAGCAGCCCCGGGCGTGGGGGGCCCCGCTGGGGCGGTCCCGGGCTCAGCCCCCGCTCCGCTGCTCTGCCCACACCCTGGGCTCGGGATGCTGCTGTTGCGCTGTGCGGGGGAAAACCAGCCCTGGAGCCGGGTTTGTTGGTTCGGTGAGGATGGAGGGACCTGTCCGAACATCCAGATTCTTCTGGTTCTTTTGACCCCTAAATGCCAGGGATTGGGTCCTCGCAGAGACAAGCGTGCTTTGCCAGCTTGGGAGCTCAGGTATTCCATGGGCTCTGTTCCACCAGTTAGGGAAAACCAGCGCTCAGGTGCGTGAGTACACCAGCTCTTTGCCACAGTTGCTTGAATTCCGGCTTTGATTTAGAAGTAGCGGACTTACTGCCGAATTAGAAGTGGAGGAATTTGCCTTCACCTGTGCTCTGCATGTGGGGGTCTTGTGCCCCTTCTGTGCCCCAGGCTGTTAAGATGCAGCTCTGTGCTGCTGAACGAAGAGCTCGGCTTGTTCTTTATTGGGTTTGATGTGACAGTGTAGGGACTTGAAACCAAAAGTCATCAGGATCCAGGTGAAAGAAAAGTTTATTTTGTATTTTTAGTATTTTCATTCCTGATTACAGATTTGAAAGTAAAAAAAAAGAAGCTTTAAGAAGAAATGCTACAGCCCTTCTCACGATGCACAAAGCTATAAGGAGTGTTTTATAGGCTGCTTCCTATGCAGGATTGAATGAGATTCTTGCGTAGGTTTATGTTGCAAAATACTTTCTTCCTCCCCTGAAAGTACCTTCTTCATACACGTGATACATCTACACTGACATGTATGCTAACACGTACCCCACATGCCATATACAGTGCTCACATGCGTGATCGTGATTGTCAAACGACAACACTTGGCATCGTTGATCGGTCCCTTATTATTTTGAGTGTATGGAATAAATGAGGCCTTGTGTAAGTTAGCTTTACATGTTAGGTGAGAAAAAAGCTAAATTTATTAGCGCCCAGAAGAATCATTGGGAACCAGTAGTCTTGTGAAATGTAGTCTCTGCAGAGAGGTTACAGACACTTCTGCACGCGTGCAAGAGATGTGCTATGTTTGGCATCATTTTAGGTTGAATGCCAACTAATTAGTCATCTAGCAAAGATGCTTTATGAGCATTATCAGATTTCCAAAATTAAACAACTACTAAATATGTAATATGACATACAGTTTGTGTTGATTTTTATTTTAATACAGTTTTCCTTTGCAAGATAGATATTTTGCAAGAGTAGATCTTTTTCCCCAATAAGTGTTGCAGTCTTTCAGCAAAATGCTATCAAGGAGAAAAAGTTCATTGCATCTCCTTGAACTTTTATAACAGCAGTATTGAAGGAAATGATAGAGGGAGAAAAAACCATTCAGATTTCAGCCTGGGGAAAACACTTCTGGGTGAATATTTCTCAAAAAAATTGGGATTATATTGCTTCTTGTTTCTTCTTTCTTACGACATCTAAACCATTCAATGTTGAATTTTGAACTTCTAAGTAAACATGGGGGGGAAAAAAGCCAACTTTATTTTCAAAAATGATGCCTGCCTCCCTAGTTCTTTAGAGCAAAACTTATCTTCACCTGATTTGGTAAGAGCAGCTTAAAACAAACAAACAAACAAAAAACCCTAACCTAACCAACCAAACAAAAAACCAAATCAAAACCAACCAAAGAGTGAAAATTCTGCAATTGGTCAGATTTGACTTTTTGATGTGACACAGAGTAATAAGAATGGCTTAGTTATTAAAATACACACTCTCAAAATCAAATTTTCCCCCTTTTTTTTTTTCCTGATAAATCTTTATGACAAATGGGACTTGCATCTTTAAAAGTGGGTCACTCACTAATTTATAGCATAGCAAACACAGTGTCAGAGGGGATGGGAAGATTTAGAGATGGAAAGTATAGTGTGTTTTGGTAACGTTAAAGCTACGTCACTTTCTGATGAACAGCAGAATATTTATTTTTGTTTTATTCTTGAAGCTGATTCACCATCTAGTTTTCACACGGCTCAAAATGAAACGAAGGTTTTTATTTTAAGAACAAAAGGCCGCACGGATGTCTGACTGATGCTGATTTTAAACTTCAAATCAATGAAAATACTTCTAATTCTGGTGCAAATGGTGTTTAAAATCAGACTTGGGGAGGTAGCCAAATTCTGAATTTCGCTGGCATCTTCCAGAGTTGCCACAAATAACAATTCATGAAGATTTTTTGCATGCAGAGCTAAGTAGAAAATCTAACATTTTGGAGGTTGCCTAAGACCAGATCCAAATTCTCCACGCTATCATTAATAAGCACAATTTTTCCTAGTTACAGGGGAGAAGTTAAATTGCCTGAGCATGCTTACAAATGTGGAAATAGTCTTCCAGGAGGGATTTGATCCTAAACAGAGTATATGGAAGCTTGTCTTGGTACTTCTTATGCAGGAGCATGGCGTATGTTGGTCAGTAGAAGAATGAAGTTCCCCATGTCATTTGATTGACAGCTTGCATTATAAACTCACTTTTGTAAGTTGATTAAGAAAACCCTAAGAAGTTGCTGTCACTTACTGAGCACTGTGAGGTTGGGTAGTGTAATTAAAAAAAATGAGAAGGGCTTATGAAAAAGTCTATTAAAGACCATTTAAGTGAAGGTTCCCATTAAGTTTTGGGGGGAGGGAATCTGAAGAAGCAAGAGAGAAGCAAAGAGATTTCACCTAGAAATGTAATGAAACAAAGCAGAATGGGCAGTTTTGTGTATGAAGGAAAAAAACACCCAAGTGCTGTCAGGAAGACTTTAAATGCATGAGAGTGTTGAATTTCAGTAGAGGGAAGGTACCTAGGGGCTAATGAATAAAGTAATGCTGTATGATGTTTGAAAGTAGTGTGGTGGAAATGTAAGTTGATTCCATTCCCCACACTCTATACTCCATTTTATCATTATCCTGAATTTCAGAATGCAATCTGTAATGAATTGGAATTTCCTGTTCAAAACCACTCTATAATCTAACAGTTCATGAGAACAGGGTGTTTACAGATGCAGCTTGTAGTGTGAGTAATTAAAAGCATTATCTTCTGGAAAACTTGGAGTGTTACCACAGTGCTATTTTGATTCAGCTGGAAAACTTTGAAGCAAAAGCATTTCTAGTTATACCCTGACTCCAGTTTTCATCTGCTTTTTAAAAATTTCCTGTGTGACACTGACCGAAGAAAAACTGCAGAAAGTTGCAAAACCTGGATTGTCTTTGAAAATCCCAGTGTTACCTTTCTGCTGGTGATCAGTTTCAAAGTGATGGTTGAAATCCAGATGACTCTCTTTAACAGGAGTGTTATTTGTTTGGGTTAAAAGGCCTGGGTCTGATTTGCCATTTTCAACCCTTGCATGGTTTGAGACTTTACCCAGGCAACTCTTGACATAAGTAAGGGCCAGATTCAAACCTGTACTGGGTAATAACTTTAGAAAATGTAACAGTGTCTTTGAAACTTCAGTGATAGGGTAACTCATCACACTTTGGGAAGTGGGAGGAATGTGGGATTGAAGCTGGTGAGGACTGTGTGCTGCCGTGTAGCTGCTAATTTTAATGAATTTTTCTGTTAATTGTGCCTTTTATAAACATCTCATCTCTAGAGTCCTGCTTATAATGACCAAACCAAAGAAGGAAGGCGGCATGTGACTTGCCCCCTGGCCAGGGCTGGTAGGTTGACGGTGAAACCTGCTGACATCGGCTCTTAAAGGGCTGAAAGTATCACCCGCAGTGGGCTGCTGGCTGGTTCTGGTGTGGTTGCCCAACAGTCGGTGAAAGCTGGAGCTGTCTTCTCTTGGGTCTGCTGTTTGTGAGGGGTAGAGCCTGGCATGAGCTGCAAGTCTTGCCATCAGCTAGCAAAATGCTGATAGCTCTGTGGGTTTCTGTTTAGGAGTTGCCACTGACGCTGGCTCATGAGTTGAAGGAACAGGACAGCCCCTGTTAATTCATTTTCCTTTTTGTTTCCTTCCTCTTTTCATCTTCTTTGTCATGATCTCTTATCTGTGAAAGTGAAGCCAAGTACGTGGTGGCATTAAATATGTTGGCCATTGTTTCTCTCAAGAAGAATAGGAGAGGGCTTCTCTGCCCTTTCTCGGCTTTGTGATGTGCAGCTTTTCTGGAGTTTCATTTCATGTCAGTGCAGGAGTAGTGACTTATGTCAGAAAATAAACACAGCATACATTTGAAGAATAAAGACAATTATTTTTTTTTTAAAGTGAACTTAAAAATATCTATGTGATCATCTGCTTTTATTAGGAATTCACACATACCTTCAAGGTTCCATTGATCAGCATAGTAGATATAGCATTTTTTTTATTTTTAGATTGAAAATGGACTTATGTGAGCACTGTAAAGTGAAGCTGAACCATTTTTTTTCAGGCAGTTGTCTCTCAGCTGGTGAGAGTAGATGACTGAAAGGCTTAACAGGATATGGTGTTGGATACCTGTAGTGGACTGATTTGAATTTGGCCGAGGTTAGTAATGCTTGAAGTCATTACCATCTGTCTGTTGTTCAGTGACCTGTACAAAATTAGCTGATATTCTTAGTCCAGTTCTTGGTAGACAGGTGTCCACATCGTGAAAACTGGCACCAGTATCAAGCTTGTTGGCCGTCTCAGCAGAGATTATTTGCTGATGAACAGGCAAAGAAACAGAGTCATCTCCTCATTTCTGGAGGGGATTTTTCCCCTTTTCAGGGTCCAGACACACTAATGGCTGAACACATGTAGAGACAAAAGTTATTGTGTGCTGCTGCATTAGTTGTATTTGATTTTAGGTAGAGAATGTAGCCCATGTGTTTGAATTCCACATTAGTTTTTAAAAAATGCCCTGCCTAGCTGTTCTGGCTTCCTAACAGAAATCTTACATATAGCAGCTGTCCTCTGCTGTTCTTTCTGGTAAAATGAAACAAGAGAACATGCTTCATATGATGTGTTTGGTTGCGGGTCTGTTTTTTTTTTTTTTAGTTAAAAAATATCAACCCTATTCAGGCAGCAAGAATTTGGAAAGAGTAAGCACCAAATCTTTCACATGTAGTTAAAAAAAAATCTGTAGATTTTTTTTTTTTTTTTTTAGATGTAGCTGTAGGAACTGATGTAATATAATTTCATGTAGTTTATGTATCCTGGGACTGATCTCGTAATAGCAGCAATAGCTGCACTTAGCATTTGAATTGTACTTTGCACGTTGAAACCTTTGTACAGACTTGTTTGCTAATGTTCCCAATTGGTTGCGGACTCTTGATGGCAAAATTTGCAATTTACAGAAAGCCTGTGCAGGATTTGACTGTTTACATACAGTGGAGATCTCTGCAGTGACAGTTGCCTATGGAGACGCGGGGATAATGGAGCCCAAAGTCTTTTGCTGGGAGTAGTGCTGCAGTTCAACCCATATGTTGGCATAAAATGCATGGGAGAGCTGTCTTATGTTCCTCTTCACAAGGTTAGGGCCTGGCATCGCTTTTTCTGCCCACATGTAACGTCTTTATCTAACAGTGAACTATTCTGGCTTTTTTTGCAGGGGTTGCTTTTAATCCTGCCTGAGCTTCTTTTAAAGTACATTATCCTGCAAGCAGTGATTCAGACTTAACTGTTCCCACTGCAGTGTGTAGGACTCTCCTCCTATTTCATTGACATAAAAATACACACCAGTATGTTATAAATAGTTCTTCAGCGTTCCTGAAGATTTAGGGTGGATAGATGCTTTCTGAACATCCATTGAGGGATAAGCCCAAATGGTCATATTTAAAGTTAATTGGCCTTCTTACAACTCACTGCATTTTATTGCCAGTAATAGCCTGTTAAGGATTCTAATAGGATCTTCTACTTGCAGAGCCTGAGTTGATTAAGTGGTGCAACATGTTCATTTCGGAGGGCTGCTTAAATCACCAGTAAAAGTAGGTTAGGTGACTACAGATCACCTCCTCGTTGACAGGAATTCCCGCGATTAATAATAGTTAAAAAAGAAAAAAAGCATGACTCACTGCTTGTACCCCCGCTAATGTTACCAACTGGAGTTGTGTTTTCTTCTAGAACCAGAAGAATAAGGGATAAATTTTGGTGTCACCGTAGATATTCCTCGGTTGGCTTTAAGTACTGTGATGTGCTAGAAAATCCAAGGTTTGGCTTTAATAGTTGTGAACTGACAGTGTAGGTGGAAGGCGTGGAGCGTGACAGGGCTGCAGTTGGAGAAATCACCTCCCTGCATTAGGGAGATAATCAGCTTCGCTGTCCCTTGCTGCTGTCTTCGCTCCTACCAGGCGTTTTAACGATTGACCGAGGTTTGGGATGCAAAGCAAGGATTTGCACGTCAGTTCTAGCTGGGTAACTGTTATGATGCCTAAAATATTTCTAGATCCTCATTCATCTGCCATTTTCTAGTGGCCTACAATGGGATTTTAACATTTGTTTTGACACTGTACTGCCATCATGTTGGACAAACAACCCAAAGTAAACTTTAATTTCAACCCTATTTTGTGGCTTCATTACTGTCTGAGAGCTCCTGCTTCCTTGTTTCTGATGGGTACTACTAATAGATGAAGGTTTGAGAACAGAATAGCTGTTACTGAAGAGTGCATTCAAGCATAGTTTCAGTCCTGTGCTGCTGCTATAGCATTTCTAATAGCATTAAATCGTAGGCTTGCTGATTTGGAGATTAGCTTCTTGGTCTTAGCTCTCCCTTTCTTTCTGAGTAACTGCAAAAAATAAACTTGCAAAAAATCTCTGAACACCTATTGCCCATGAAGCTGTAACGGTTATATAAAACAAAAGAAATCAATGCCTGAAGAGAAGCAGCTCATGCCTGTGGGAAAATTTTGTCCCTTTGCCTAATCTGATATGATTATAAAATCACAGTGTTCTGAGATCTGAAGAAAAGAAAGTATCACCAGAGGAAAGCAGTTAAAGGTTTGGGGTGTGGGTTTGGTTTGATTTTTTTTCTTTGAAGGCATACTCCTATTTAGTTTCTTAGAACTAACAAATAAAGCAGCTGCGTGCAATATTAACAGGACAAATTCCTACATTTTCTTATTAGAGCTATGTGAGAAAAAGACTCTTTCATTTCTATAGAACTTTGATTTCAGGAGAATTTCAAATTCAGGTGAAACAAATATATATTTAAACCAACACTAGATAAATTATAATCTTGTGATTACGGGAGGTCAGATACGTAGAATCATAGAATGGTTTGGGTTGGAAGGTACCTTAAAGACCATCTAGTTCCAACCCCCCTGCCATGGGCAGGGACACCTTCCACTAGACCAGGTTGCTCAAAGCCTCATCCAACCTGGCCTTGAACACTTCCAGGGATGGGGCATCCACAGCTTCTCTGGGCAACCTGTGCCAGTGCTTCACCACTCTCTCTGGGAAGAACTTCTTCCTGATATCTAATCTAAACCTCCCCACTTTCAATTTAAACCCATTACCCCTTGTCCTGTCACTACAGGCCCTTGTAAAAAGCCCCCCCCAGCTTCCTTGTAGCCCCTTCAGGTACTGGAAGGTGCAATAAGGTCTCCCCGGAGCCTTCTCTTCTCCAGGCTGAACAAGCCCAACTCTCTCAGCCTGTCCCCATAGCAGAGGGGCTCCAGCCCTCGGAGCATCTTCATGGCCTCCTGGGGACTCGCTCCAACCCTTCTCTATCCTTCGGATGTTGGGGGTTCCAGAGCTGGAAGCAGTACTCCAGGTGGGGTCTCAAAAGAGCAGAGTAGAGGGGCAGAATCCCCTCCCTCCACCTTCTGGCCACACTTCTGATGCAGCCCAGGATACAATTGGATCCCTGCTATGTACAAGCATGATTGGGCTTTTCTCCCCTATTTTGTGATGCTGCAGATGAATTTCTTCACTTCCAGTATCTTGACAGTTCCAATGAGAGTTTTCCCAACCTTTTAGGGCTCTTCTCCTCTCAAGAAATAATTATATTCAGGAAATGTCATTGGACTATGTTGTCAGTAAAATGGGTGGTCTAGCCACTCATGGATTCCCTTGACCTAATGAACACTTTATTTGTAGAAAAGGGAGAAGCTTCCATCTGACATGTTTAGGGAGCAGCCTACTATGAAACAAACAGCATAGTATGAAAGTGTGTTACCTGGAACTTGGGAGTTTCTTTTTAAAACTTCTTCAAGACAGACATGCCGAACTATCTGACTGTCCAGGGCCTGTGGAGCTACCGACTGTTGTAGGGTGAATTTTCTTTAGATTTGATCTTGGAAAAAATGTCCTTCTGTGAAACTGTTAACTTCCAGCAAAGTTGTTTTTCTGACATTTGTCTGAAACATTCATAGCTGTTCTTCTCTACATAACTTGCAAACTGTTTAGTGAAATAATTTTATATGGATTTATTTTGCTTTTTTGTTCACAGTTTGACACTTGTTCTAGGTGCAAGAAGTATAGGTTCCCTGTTTTCTAGTTGCTTATTTCTTTTTATCCTTTTAACATTTGATTCAGTGACATCTGTGAACAGTGATTTTTTTTTTCTTTGCAAGAGGGACGTATTCTGCTGCTGCTAACAGTCTTAAGTTTTTCCTCTTTTCAATTTTAGCTTGCAAATATGATAAAGCCTGAATTAACAGACTGAAGCCACTTACCCTCTTTAGAAATGTGAGTTGTAGTGGTTTAGAAACCGTGGTTGTGAATTTGTAGATCGTACATTCTTTTCATACAGGTACTGTTTGCTAAGACCATCAGTAGGTTGTGGGGTTTTTTTTTTTTTTTTCCTTTTTAATTTACAATGTGAGTTAACAACCTGAATTAAACTGTTACCTAATGCTTTGATCATGGAGTCATCATTACAGTTGGTAATGATTAGCAGCTTTCTAGCCTTTTACATTGGGAAGAAAACTAAATCCCAGTGAAATTTGGTGGTGTGTGCGCTCTTTGGTTTAAGGGGAACTGCAGAGTGAACGCCCATCTGAAATTTCAAGCTGTTTTGTCCTGTGGTAAAGAGAATGTTGCGTTAAAATGAAACTGCTTTCTCTGGTACTTGCTATGTGATCCTCAGCTGTAAGAGCACAAGACGTCTGCTTGGTGCAGTGTTTTGCACGGTGCCCTAAGTATCAGTAGTTCTTCCAAGACAGGCTTTGTAGTAGCATCTGGACCTAGGTTCAGACACTCAAAAATTTTTACTTCTCCAAGTTTTATTCTTAATGTCAGTATGAAAGCACTCCAGTGCATCTCGGGATACGGACGCAGTTCTGATACTGTAGTACCAGATTGCCCAGTACCAGCATGCTAATATCTGTAGTCCAGTTATTACTGAATGTTAGTAATAAACGCCTTGGGGGAATGTGGATTTCCTGAATTCGGTGCTTGTTGTTAATTAGCACGGTGTTTTCAGTGAGCCTTTTAATTTTTTGGCATCTGTTTTCATATCCGTTGAGTCAACATTGGTTTTCTGAATGGGGATTTGCATGGAAATGCTGATTTTGATTTACTTATGTGGTAAAGCTAATTGAGCAGTGCTTGTTATTAGAGACTTATCTGAAATGACCTGTATTTGCATTTTGCTCTTGCTCATCCACAGAACCCTCAAAGCAATAACTGTTCACAGGCCAGGATTGTTTATGGGAATTGTTGACCTGCAAAATTCAAATTTTCTTGCTCACTTCCTTTTTGTACATTAGGTCCTGTTACTGAAGTCAAAACAGATATATATGTCACCAGTTTTGGACCTGTTTCTGATGTAGAAATGGTATGTATGTCTGCCATTAAAATGCCATTGCCTGGTTCTGAGAAACCATTAACTGCAGTAAGGAGTGGATGCTTCATCTGTACTGTTCTGTCAAACATGCAGCGTAGACAAGATTAGTAACAGCTTAATTTATGGGTTATAATTAGATACATCAGGCCTGATTCTGATGACACTTTCACCGGTTTTTGGCTGTCTTAAGGAATTAACTTCACAGGATTTAAAACACACTTTCATGGTGTAGAGGCAGAATCAGGCCCTGTGGGGAGTGTCTGAGTCAGTCTACCGTAGGGAAAATGTGTAATGTCTTTGAAATTGCCTTTTCTTCCTGAAACTTGTGTTATTCTCCAGTGAATAACAATGGCATAATTTCACAAATACTTGTTGACGTTTTCATTTCAGGTGAATGTCCTTTGCTGATCTTTGTGCCCCTTTTAGCATCACTTTCAGCAAATGTTTGACTGACTGATAAGCATTTTCATAAGCGTCTGCAGAAACTGAATGTCAAAGTGACGTGCATGAAATACTCACAGGAGAGAAATGTTACGTTTGCATGTACTGTTATTTGTGCCTGAATGGCATCTACATTCGAGGTGGAATCCAGCATAACTCTTACCAACTTCTGTAACCTAGTGGTATACCCTTAAATCACACAGTAGCTTCTCTTTTTATGAAATATCCAAGAAGTCACATGGAAGTAATACAGCCATATGTGCTGAACTGAACTTCTTTACAGGAAAGCAGTTTCAGGGAAGCATCTTCCTTCCCATACAGTGCTGTCATACCCTTTGTGGTGCACCTGAGTTGGTTCTATCATGTGGAAAGGTATATGATAGCAAGATATTTTTTTCCAGGGCTGGTTTGATGACAGCAGTCTCATGCTGAAATGCTTCTTACCCCTTCAATGTCTGTCATGTACAGTATGACACTGTTCGGTGTGACAAGGGGTACAGGGATCTGGTCCCAAGGAGATTTAGTAATGTGTGCTTGAAATCTAAAATGAGGGCTGCATGGCATCCCTCACGTTTCATTGCAGCATTTGACAAGGTGCCGCATGGGAAATCAGTAATTATACTGGAGAAGGCAAGAGTGAGATCATGGACCGAAGGTGGGTAAGGAACTGGCAAAGGGAAAGTTTATAGATGTTTCCCTTTTCATCATTAGGGGTTAGTTATGAAGCTATTCAGGGATTTCAGGGATCCAGGAATTGTTTTGGGAATAATTTTTAGTTGTTGGTATCCATTAGCGACCCAATGTGATATGAGTGTGGCTGCACTCCTAAAACTCACTGAAACAGCAAAGTATGATACAGTCTCAGTACAGGGGACGATCAGAATGTCTTTTTAGAGCTGGGTTACTTTGATACCTGGTGTGACGAAAGGAGTTGAAATCTTGTGTCACAAAATCTGTCATGTAGAAGCTAATAACAGGAACTGCTACTTATTAGCTATGAAGTCACCAGCAAGAAATGACACGAGGAAAGAGACTTTTCATAGGGTAACGATGAACCACAGTGGAGGATGCGGCCGTGGAAAAGATGACAGGTGTAATTCTAAGATGCGTTACACTAGTCGACATGCCTCCTTGCCCATGCAAATAGATATGGCCATACAAGTAGTTTCAGTGGTAACGTTATGCAGAAGAGTTTGAAATTAAGTCAGATAATATTGTTTGGCTTAACAACAAAATCACAACTATAAGTCAGAAAGGTCTTAAAGCTTTCTGTGTTACTTTTTTCAATACCACACGATGCTTTTTTAAATGAAATCCTTTATGTTCTTGTGATGAGAAATACATTACTTTGTCCATTCATTCACATGATTTCTCATGATCTGCCTGTGTCTGCAGTTGTGCAGTGGTTGTTTGCATGTTTTCTTTGGAGCACCTGAATGACTTTTCTGAGGAACTTGATGGGATATTTATGTAGTTAACCTTTATCCATGTTTTGTGGGCATGGCAAAGGAAATACTTAGTTTTGCTCGTTTAAAAGCTTACTTTTCGTCTGTTGGAAGTAAATTTTCTTTCCTGTCTTTAAAGTGGAAGTAATTGGCCCGGTATTTTTAATTTAGCCAGCAGCAGAAAATCCACGGATATCTTTTTCTTAAAAGTCTGTTGACACTTATTGTCAGAGATCATTTTGTTCCCAGTTATATGCTTGACTACAAATCCAATTGCCTGCTTCCTGCAACCTCATTAGATTAATTATTCCTTAACGATTAAATATGTGTAGTAATTTATTGATATGAGTAATGTGAGAAATTAAGCTATTAAGAAGTACACAACGCACTTTAATTGCTGGAAATAAGTCTGTGTAGTGGACAGTATTTTCTTTACTACTGATTGCTTCCGAGGGGTTTCTGGTTTTTTACAGGAAACACAACACAAGCAAATGTGATCTTTGTTTTTCTGCAATTTAATACAGGAGTATACAATGGATGTCTTCTTCCGTCAGACATGGGTAGACAAAAGATTAAAATATGATGGCCCTATTGAAATTTTAAGGCTTAACAACTTGATGGTTTCGAAGGTGTGGACTCCCGACACTTTCTTCAGAAATGGGAAAAAGTCTGTTGCACATAATATGACAGCCCCAAATAAACTCTTCAGAATAATGAGAAATGGCACCATCCTGTACACAATGAGGTATCTGACTTGTTTGTTCAGCTTCTTACAATTACTGTATGCAAAAAGTTATACTGCCTAGACAAAATGGCAACCAGAGACTATTTAATTTGTTCCATTATAGGCTTACAATAAGTGCAGAGTGTCCCATGAGATTAGTGGATTTTCCCATGGATGGTCATGCTTGTCCTCTCAAATTTGGGAGTTGTAAGTTGCAATTATGAAATTTCTTGTAACTACGGAATTTAAATAGTAGAAGTAGATTTTGAACAATTACTGAACTTTCTGAATATTAGTCTTGATACACAATCCTTATGCAGACAAAACTCCTGTTAAATTCTTTGGGAATTTTATTTAAGGCCTGAAAAATTAAACCCAGGCAGAGAATTGAAAAGCAGGCAATGATTCAGCTGTTATGTTAAACCCCACTATTCTGGCTACACAGTTGCTTGAAATGCGTAGTTTTTCTTGGTTTTTAGGGAGGAATTGGATACTCAGTGAAGTGAGAGATGCTCTGGAGAAGACAAAGAGGGTGGGAACCATCTCGCCTTCCAACAGCCAGGTAAAAGGCACCTAGGGAATCAGGTTATTTGACTTTCTGTGTAGTCAGTAGAGGCACATTGACATCCTAAGTTAGATGTGTAGTTACGAGTAAAGATTTGATCTTTAGTTGTATTGTCCATCTCCTGTCTCCTGGCCTATAAAGGGAGCCTGCATGGCAAGTTTAGCCTAGATAAATAATTTTTAGACCGGTGAGAGGAATCTTAGTGTTAAGTGACTTTACATCTGATTTCAAACCAGGAAAGATGTTTGGACAATCTCCAAACTTTGGCTAGAAGGAACAATTTGGGCCATTCCACATAACAACTAAGGGAGATAGTTATGGATTCCCTGATTTGGATCTGCAGCAGAGACCTCTGAGATCACCTGGGGATGGCTGGTGCACTCCATTAACTATCTTGTCACTTTTCTAAGCCTCCTCAGTTGCCGAGTTCTCTGCTTTACACTCAGATGTAGTCAGTGGCTGGACATTAATCTGTTTTCCTTGACCCCAAGGCTCTGAAGTTAGAAATGGCTGGAAGCTACTCATAGCAGAAATTCAGTTTATGCAGCTGCATAGTCAACCAAAGAGGGATATTAAAGACACTGATCTGTTAAGGATTTTCATCCCTGTTATGGTAAGACTGGAGACCAGGTACTGCTAGAATTGGCTTTGGTATCAGCTGAATGATAGGGGAAGTTCAATGTGGGGGCATCTGCAGGGGCATATTTCTTTGGGCAGAATCACCAACCAGCAGAAATTGCACTTGACACTAATCTGAGATCTTCCACAGTGAAACTTGAAATAAGATGTAGGCATTTTGAATGCAAGAGTGATTTGATTTAATTTTAACAGGAGTTTGGGCTGTGTAGGGATTGAATGCTAGCCCTAAGTTATGTCTCTTTTATTAAGTGTAAAATGGTTTTCTGGGTGTGCTTATTTTGGGGCTATTGTGAATTTTTTTACTGACCTCTGGTTTCTGGAAAATATTTGAAATGCAAGTTTAAAATATTATATAGTTTTTAGTATAATAATTCTTTTCTGTAAAGAAATGTGCACCCAGTCTCCAAAATGTATCCTCCTTATACATGTCCTTTTATATATATCAGTATATTTTAATGATAAAATTTTAGATAGAAATTTCTCAACTGATTTAAAGATAAACTTTATAGCCTCAATAAGGGCTAATCCAGCAAGAATTTATGTTTACACTTCACGTTCAGATGTGAAGTGGATTTGTGTGTGACACGACATATGACCTTAGCTCCTATTTATTCTCCTCTGAGGGTGGCTTTGCGGGGTAACTTAATATGAAGGGTGTCTTCTAAAGTTATTAGAGTGAGTCTTGGTGTTCAATTTCAGTAGGTTTGGACTGGGCTCTTAGTAAGGTGAGAGAAGAAGTTTCCTATTTACGCAAACTGATGCTGTGTTGTAGATGCTTATCCAAAGAGTGAAATGATTTATACCTGGACAAAAGGACCTGAGAAGTCAGTGGAAGTTCCTGAGGAGTCTTCCAGTTTAGTTCAGTATGACCTGCTTGGGCATACGGTATCCTCTGAAACCATTAAATCTATTACAGGTAGGAATGTCGTCCGTAAAAATCAACTTGAGGTAAAACTAACCCTATAACATTGCTTGAGGCTTTTTTCTTTCCTTCCCGTAAAGTATTCTACTGAATGTCATAGGGCATATATTAAGGGCTGAGAGCATAAATCTGAATTAGGTTTCTGTCCTTCAGATTTACATTTGCAGATTCATTATAGTAGATTGCGACGGTCTTTCACAAAGCTGGAATGAGATCATTACTCCGAGGGACAAAATGAGCGTTTAATCACTGCTTAAAATGCAGTTTGAAGAGTCAAGAGGATGCCTGGGTGAGGAAGTAATTTCTCAGCGCTGTATCCACATTATGTGCAAAAGACTTCCTTTGTCTGGCGGTGCAAACAGCTCGGGATAGAAGTACAGCATACAGAATGGGTTATTAAAGCCATAAAAACCCTCTAGTCGGGTAAGGATAGGCACAAATGCATTAGTCACAATAGATACTTCTGCTGATTTGTGCTGTAAGAAACAAGGCAAATGGCAACTACAGGCATCCGAAATGAGTGAAGTGTCACTGATGAGAAGTGGGGTGATAAACAAGCATATTCCCAAAATATTTTTAAAATTTGGAATCATTTTCTAAGCATCAGCAAGTTTGTGTGTTGTGAGAATGTCAAAATGAAACAGATAAAGCAAATATATTTGTTGTATTGCTCTATGGATGTTTTTCTCAAAGAAACAGCAGCATTTTGCAATACATGAGAAATTTACTTCACAGCATATTGATTGTTATGAGTTAACAGCAGGATTTCCTTACTGTCCCCAAAATGCTCATTCTGTAGTGCTTTATTTAGACAGCTCTTTCAGTTTACGGTAAAACGGCAAATTTTGTTTAATATGAATGACGATAGTTAAGATAAACTTATTTTTAATTCTTGTTAATGATCTTTGCATTTGTTTCATTATCACAGTAGTACGGATGTATAAACCTAGTGAAAAGCTGAGATGCTTCCATATCATTTAATGTGCATCATTGTTGTTATTGTTTTATTTGGCAGGTAGGTACCACAATGTTCTGGATACTATGGTAGGTAGATAGCTTCTGTCTTGGGACTCTTTTTCAACAGATGCCAAAAGAATTTTTAAAATCTTGCTTATATTGTAAAATGTCATCCAGTATTAGCTGTACATTTATAGTGTTTTTGAGAGCAGCTTCAGAATGACACTTTAAGGACCTACTACTTCCAGGATTTTTTAAAACTTTCATTCACTCTAAGGAACATAACTTACTATACACGCTGGAGTGGTATGAATAACATCATCTTAAACAGTCCTAGTTCGTAATCTCAAACAGTTATTCTGCAACACAAATTTTATGTGCAGTCAGAAAAATATTTTCTTTCTTTTTTTTTTTTTTAGGTGAATATATTGTTATGACAGTTTACTTCCACCTCAGACGGAAAATGGGTTATTTTATGATTCAGACCTACATCCCATGCATTATGACTGTGATCCTTTCTCAAGTTTCATTTTGGATAAATAAGGAATCTGTTCCAGCCAGAACTGTGTTTGGTAATGATTTCTCCTTTTTCTTGTACTTCCTCTTTCAGTGACTTTCACTAGAATAGGCCTTTTTAGTCTCTTGGGGTGTGCTGCCTCTGTACTAATGCAGAAGCAAGGGAATAATGTAAATTCTGGGGAATTTCTGCTATTTGTGTATGAAGAATGTTATGTGAATCCTTGGAATCTCAAGAGAAACTTGGAATATTTAACCAGATGATTGCCTGTGGCAAATGGGTGTGCATCTGTGGGGATTTTACCTGCTTAGGGGAGCAAACTGGGAAGACCTGGCCCTGAGACATCCAGTCAAGTCCTTGGTCCCCATCCAGGGCAGTTTTGTCCTTCAGTGAACAGTACTGTAATTACCTGAACTCACACCTTTCAAAATCCTTTTAAAATAATTGATGGGGAGTGTGCAAGGTGTGCAGATGTCTTCTTAGAACATACCTGCATTATCAGTGGAAGCTTGCTATGACTAAGGCTTAGATCCTGTTACTGTAATTTCATATTTAGTGCTCTTCTCTCCTTTCTGCCATTGCCATTATGAAAATGAATTCAAAAAGCAAAATAATTGCAAGATACTGAAATTGCCCTCATCAAAATACAGCTTGAATGAGATGCTACAGTGGACTATGGAAATAAAAACCAAAAAGCTTGTATGGAAGAGGAAGTGTAAGAAATTAAATGCAAATACGATTCCTAACAACATAGTAGGATAAGGATATTTTTTAAATCAGTCTTTGTAGAGCAATGTCTTGACTTTATAATGTACAGTAGTCTAAAGCAGGACTAATTAGGAATAGAATGTTCTACAAAAAGCCTTTCTATAGATAGATAGATGCTGGCTAGAGTAATAGGAATTAATGTTTCTACATGACAGCCCATTCAGACACGTAAGTAGAGTCTGAACACTGTTTAGTTTCACAAATTAGACATGGTTCATGATTAGCTGTAGGAAAAACCACCTGTAAACCTAGTAAGAACCCCACTAGCTCTCAACTCAGGCATTACATTAGGCAAACTAGTATATCACTCCACATGCCTCTGCAGTGATGCTGAATAATGGTACTTTTTTTTAAGGGAGTATTGCCATGAAGTGTAAAGGTAGAATCTGTATTTACAGACAAAATGTGATGACTGAAAATGTACAAATTGTAGAGCAATAGATGTCATTATATCCGTGTATGAGACGGAAAACAAATAAGACAGCTACTAAGTTACAGACAAGTCTCTAAAACACCTTTGAAAAGAATTGGCTTAAAGTATGGCTAAAAGTATCTTTTTAGTTTTCTGACAAATGCCGACAGGGACCCTGTTTTGTAAAGGTTTTCTTTAAGAAGAAAAGAAAGAAGATAGAAATGATGCAGGCAAGAGATAGGAATACCTGATATGGTATCAGCTTTCTACAGGAACTGTCAGAAGAGGTTAACTAAAAGATCCTTCCATTGGACACTGCATGAGTAGTGAAAACTTGGGAGAGGTAACAGAGGAAGGATACACAAGGAACTAAGGTAAATCAGGTGGCGATTTCTGCAGTCAGAGCTTCAGGCACCTGAATCTGGTGATTGTGGGAGATTGGCCTTTCTTAGAGGAAAGGCAGCAGTAATTTTAAACTGGGTTAGTAAGAGTATTTGAATATAAAAATTCTTAATATATATGTTTATATGTTTATGTGCATTTCTAATCAGAAGTTTGCAAGTATTTAGCTCTGGATAATTACGACTCATGTGTACATATAATAGTTTTTACCAGAACTTAATTCTCAGTCCTGTAAATCTTACGGCACATATCCAAGGGCAGTTAAAGTAACAACTGCAAGTCTTTAGAAAGACAATTCAGGGAAACTATTTGCTTGGAGTGGATGAAGGTAAAATCAGGCTAGGCAGGGATATGTCTCTTCCAGGAAAAAAAAAACCAAAACCCACCAAAACCCAAAAACCCCAACTTTCCATAATTTTTTTATTTCTGAGACTTAAATATTTTCAGTGGTGTGTTTTTTTCACACCTTCCCACTGAAGAAGGTTTTGTGAGCTTGCATCTGTGTTTTTATCCTGCTGAGTTTGCTCTGAGATATTCTTCGTGCTTTTATGAACTGGCTGTTACTCTTTTTATTTTCTCTTCTTCAAGAGGGAGAGGCTGGCTTCATTGTGTCCTGTTCTCTGTATGGCAGTGTCTAGGTGAAGCTTTTTCATACTAGATTGCCTGAATGGAATACCATCATTTAGGGAATAGGGGATGTGAGGATCCAGTTAGAAAACCTGCTCTTATTTATTTTGAATTCTTCTCAGCATATGCGTTTCAACTTGAATTAAAATGGGTACAGCATTCCTTTCATAAGAGTAAAGACATCTGAATTTGTAGTCAGTCTTCCTTAAGGCTGTGGTAGGACTTACGCAGTGTTCACTATATACTTGGTGTTTTACATTTGAATGATATGCGATATTTTGGATGAAAAAAAAACCCCAACCCTATACCTTGGTATTATACAGCATGTATTTTCATCTGAAGTATTACCATGAAGTGGTCATGCTTGTATGCTTTAATTAAACAGTTGTTTTTTCAGAAGATTAAGTTCTAATTAACTTTCATCGGTTGACTAGTAGCAGAAGGGTTTAAAAGATAAGGTGATGGTTTGCTAATTAACAGAGTTGTTAACATGATATTCCTTAGTACCAAAATAACTTGCCATGACTTAATGGCACCTGGATTACGAGTGGGATCAGAGAAACAGGCACAGTGTAATAGGTAGCATCCTGAATCCATTACAAAAATGCCTTGGTTGCAGTCGGAGGAGTGCTCCCCTCTTTAACAACTGAAATTATGTTCAAATGTTTAGAAAATAACTTGTAAGAAATTTTTGAGGACTTGACACACACACACACACACAAAAAAAAGAAATGAAGGCTTCCATGTTTTCTTCACGTGAAGTGTAGAAGATCTGCTGAAGTCATGGCTTTCCATGACTCCTTTAAAAACTGGTTAATTGTTCTGTGTGCATAGCTGCTCATAGACATATGGTGGTTGCCCTGACTTAAATCTAATGTGCTATTCACAAGCAGCAGAAAAAGAGTCCTAAGAGATTTAAAATTCTGTGTTTGAAACTGCTTGCCTAGTCTCGCTCTGACTTGCTTGGATTCAGCAGTGCTTTTGCTTTGTTTCTTTGAAGGAATAACCACGGTGTTGACAATGACAACACTGAGCATCAGTGCAAGACATTCACTGCCGAAAGTATCCTATGCTACTGCCATGGACTGGTTTATAGCGGTCTGCTTTGCCTTTGTGTTCTCTGCTCTCATTGAGTTTGCTGCTGTCAACTATTTTACTAATATTCAAATGGAAAAAGCAAAAAGGAAGACAGTAAAATCCCTCCTTGAATTTCCAGTTGCTCCAGTACAAAGAGAAAGAAGTACAGAAGAGACATTTACGGTATGTTTTCAGCTAATACCAATATTTTCCCTGTGTTTGGTAATGTTTCTCGGTAAAAACAGGCCTTTAACTTCCTCCCCGGTTCCCTGTGAGCTAACAGGGCAGTGGAAGTCAGCATAATGAAGACTAATGCTACACCCTATTCAATCCTGTAAAAATATTCCTTGCATGTTGATTCTGATAGGGCTGAATATACGGACTTAGATGTTATGGATTATAAGGACAGCGTGTTATTTGATGTGCCTGATCTCTTTAATGAATTAAAATATGCAGTTGTACCTTGGAGCATTTCCCTAGACATCACAGTTCTCCTTTCATTGCATGTGGCCTATCTAGAGTTTTATTTCTCAATCGGTTACAATTTCAGGGATTTTTTTAAGATTGCTGGATGAAAACTTTGTGTCCCCCATAGATTTAATTTTTATGTAACTTGCGTACCTTTGCACAGGAGCTCACCTTAACTCCTTTGAAACTGCTTAAAAAAATGCTTTCCAGCTTTCGTAGTGCTTCCCCCATAGATTTAATTTTTATGTAACTTGCGTACCTTTGCACAGGAGCTCACCTTAACTCCTTAACTCCCTTTCCAGCTTTTGTAGTGCTTCATTAAGTGTGACTTGTGTGGTAGCTATCTTGGTGTGTAGACCAGCTAATAAAGGCTCGATCTCATTTCCACTTGAGCCACTGGTAATTCTCTTTCCCCATTTTCCTGTGCTTACTCTCTGTTACATTGCTCCTTTTATTCAAGAGACACCTAGCTAAGAGAGTCATGACAGCACTTGCACTGGCCATGTTGTAGACCAGCAATTTGCAGTCCTGGCTGATTATCTTGGCAACACCACTCAAGAAGTAAGATGCTGACAGCAGCATTGTAATTTACTCTTCCTGTCAGGCTTTCTCATTTCCTTTGGCTGAGCCATGATTTAAGAACCACTGTTTTAGACTAACTCTTGGTAATTTTGTCTTCTGTCTCTTTTCACATCTCATTTGTCTCCTTCCCTATTCAGCCAGGGTTTTTTCTGCATTCCCACCCCTTCCATTTGATATCGCTGCTCAGCTGCTGTCCACCCACTTCCATTTTTCTTCCTTTTCTTTGCTTTCCTCCCAATGATCATTACTGTTTTCAATCTCCTGGCTGTGTTGTTCTGTTAGCCCCCATTTCTGCCTGTAAGGATAGATGTGCTCCTGAAGAGTTTGTTACTCATCACTCTGGCTGCTAGTAAGAGATGGGAATAAGACAAAATATGTTTATAGTGGCATGTAGTTTGCCTTGTGCATAGAGGTATTAGTGCCATTAGTTTATGCTGAGCTTCTTGACTGTACAGCATGCAGTTTAGTACAGTATCTCGGGTGCTCCCAAGGAGTGTTAGTAAGTACTTCTTTTGGTAATAGTCAGGTTTTACTTGGGTCCATAGGAAAATAAATTACGTAAGAACAGTTTAATCCTAGATTTATTTATAAGAATCAATTAGAACAAAAGGAAAAATAGTAGTTTTCTCAGGTAGCAATGATAGAGACTTAATAAGACAGTTCATGGTCAGAATTGCTGTAAGGCAGTATTGTATCATGCTTAGCCATTTACACAGGTGTTTTGGAGAAACTTAGAATCATAGAACGCTTTGGCTTGTAAGGGACCTTAAAGACTTCCAACCCCCCTGCCATGGGCCGGGACAACTTGCACTCAAACAGGTTGCTCAAAGCCTATCCAGCCTGGCATTGAACACTCCCAGGGATGGGGCATCCACAGCTTCTCTGGGCAAACTTTTTTTCAGTGCCTCAACACCCTCTCTGTGAAGAATTTCTTCCTGATATCTAATATAAATCTACCCTCTTCCCTTTAAAGCCATGGCTCTTTGTCCTGTCACTACAGGCCCTTATAAAAAGTCCCTCTCCAGCTTTCTTGGAGGCCCCTTCAGGTACTGGAAGGCTGCTGTAAGGTCTCCCCAGAGGCCTTCTCTTCTCCAGGCTGAACAAGCCCAGTTCTCTCAGCCTTTCTTCATAGAAGAGGTGCTCCAGCCCTCTGGGCATCTCTGTGGCCTTGCTCTGGACTCGCTCCAACAACATTGCGTGGTCATGTTGAGCTTGTTATCTACCAAGACCCTCAAGTCCTTCTCCTCAGGGCTGCTCTCAATCCATTCTCCGTCCAGCCTGTACTTGTACTTGGGATTGCCCTGACCAATGTGCAGGACCTTGCACTTGGCCTTGTTGAACTTCATGAGGTTGGCATTGGGCCCACCTCTCCAGGCTGTCCAGGTGCCTCTGGATGGCATCCCTTCCCTCCAGTGTGTTGATGGCACCACACAGCTTGGTGTCATTGCCAGACTTGCTGAGGGTGCATTCAATCCCGCCATCGGTGAAGCTGAGGGAGATTTTAAACAGTACCAGTCCCAATACCGACCCCTGAGGAATGCCATTTGTCATTGGTCTCCGCTTGGACATTGAGCCATTAACCACAACTCTTTGAGTGTGACCATCTAGCCAGTTTCTCATCCACCAAGCATTCCACATGTCAAATCCATGTCTCTCCAATGTAGAGACAAGGATGTCGTGTGGGACAGTGTCAAACGCTTTGCACAAGTCCAAGTAGATGACACTGATTGCTCTTCCCTTATACACCAACACTCTAACCCTGTTGTAGAAGACCACCAAATTTGTCAGCACAATCTTCCCTTGGTGAAGCCATGTTGGCTGTCACCACTCACCTCATTTTCCATGTTCCTTAGCATATTTTCCAAAAGGAAACTTCTCTTTCTCCCTATCTTTTTTTCCCCTGTATTTTTTCTTTTTTTTTTTTTTTCCTGTTGTTGTTGTTAAAAAAACCTGCATGCAGCTTCACCCAGCTTGAAAGCTAGGTAAAATGAGATGTGAACAGCTCTATTCTACTGTTTAATTAATACCTCTGTGATAAATGTTGCAGTGGGCTTACAGGTTTGGGGATCTTGAAAGCACTGAAGGGAGCAATCTACTTTTTGAAGGGTTACACGTTAATGTTATGAGCATGTAACTTAGTGATAATGTTGATTGTACCTTGAACTGTTACTTATTTTTACGGCTTTTTCTCCAATTATGACTATGCCAAGACCTGAGGCTTTGGTATTCCAGGACAGATATACAGGTTTAGCCCACAGATACTGTTATAAAGGCTTAGCTATCGTGCAGTCCTTTCCACGGCTAGAGGATGATTTCTGTTCTGGTCTCCTGCTGCAGAGAACAGAAGCTAATATGGCTGTTCTTGTTTTTTAGAAGGTAATATGGCTTTAGACTCTGCTTTCCAACCTGAAATGTAATATAGTCCTTCTCCTTAAAATTCTTATTTCTTCTTAAAAAAGGCTGATCTAGAATTTTCCTATGCCTTATTTTGAATCTGATTTTTTTTTTCTGCACATATACTGTCTAATCAGTGCTGATTTACCAGAGATAACAGAATCTCAGCTTCCCTGTGAGCTTGTGTTACACAAAGAATGTAGGACAATAGCCTGACTGTAGCCTGTAATCTGTAAGCATTGTTTCTTAACATAAAGACTATACATTTTATCTCCACAGCTAAATGATAGGCTTTGATTTCTTAACCCAGTTAGTGTTTGAGAAGTCTACGTTGCTGCTGATGTGCTAGAAATTCTGTTATTAGCAATACAGTTGCCACATCTCTAGGAAAAGTTTAAAATAAAACTTGAAAATTTTTCCAGACTTTGCCTGATCTGGTAAATTTGCCAGTTTCTGAAGTTAAAAATTTTCACTTAGCCCAGGGAGGAGATGTGCATATCCTGAGAGTTGGTGTGTAAATTGGAAAAGAAGATGCCTGAATGCCTAAACTCTGCAGTTCTTTCTGCTACATACCTCACCATGCGCAACCTGCTTTGGATCTTCTGCTGTTCAGGCAGAAGATCCCTCTCTCATACCTGTTAGCACTGTACTTTTGCCTGCACAGAAATGGCATACAGCTGGCTGTGCTGGTTTTTTTACAGTTGAGGTCCCATGTGTATAGGTCCCCTGAAAACAAGAAAAGTACAGAGCAATTGAGGCTATTAAGAAAAACAAACAAGGTGATATACTTTTAAATGAGGGTTTCATTTTATGGGCTGTTGATTCTGCATTATTCACTGGATGGTTCTGTGCATTCTATTTATTTCTTTATTTCTCCAGTAAGGTGGTGGGATTCTCTTAGAGAGGGGTGCTAGGCAGGGAGCAAGTTAGGTTGTGACACTGGGTTCCCTATAGAACAGGGGGATTTTACTGCCTGATAGTACTAGAAATTAGGCATATTATTAATAAAGTTTGGTAAAATAAAGATAAATTGCACATAGTTTGAAGTCTTTTTTTGATGTGCATGTGTTGACTGGTTTCTGACCATAGAATTAAATTGGGTTTTCTATATTGGATCCATTTATATATTACTCATACTAATTGGATATCTTGGTTGTGTGTTACTTTTTCTTTTCGGTCAAAACCACTTTTTCAGTTGTCTACCATAGAATTAAATTGGGTTTTCTATATTGGATCCATTTATATATTACTCATACTAATTGGATTTCTTGGTTGTGCGTTACTTTTTCGGTCAAAACCACTTTTCCAGTTGTCTTAGATCAAAGGCAACTCCTATCATTATGATCAAATGATTTGTGATGTGTTCATTCGTATTATGTATTTCTTCACCACAACCAATACACCTTTGCTCTAGCAAACGTGGACTATATGATTTTCTAAGTTATTCTCTTATATTTACTTTTTTGGACCTATGTGGTGGGTGTGACTGATCAATATATTGATTACAGGCAGCATTAAATGAATTTCTGAGGCTAGCTAAGTAATCTGAACTGTGTTAATTTCACAAAAAATCCTAGTATTAAGCTAATTTAGTGGGCTGCGGTGGCAGGAGCAAACCTGTAGTGCCTACAGAGGCAGTGTATGCTCCTCTACCACTTGATTTGGTTTTAGCCATAGTATTATTCAAATTCTTTTTAGCCTCCTCCCAGACCCATTTCAACTCTTTGCTGTCTGCAACT